TGGGCCTTGGGAGGTGCTTCCTGGGGAATGCAAACGTCCGAGGCAGACAACCCCCCACACACCCCACCCCCGCCCAGCTTTCGGGCAAAAGAGACTGGGCGCTGCAGCGGGTGGTTGGTTCAACAACCGGACACCTGCGCTCCCTAGATCTAATTTGCATGTGAAGACAGGCCCGAGACCCAGGTCGACCTCGGGGGCAAGGGGGTGCGTTGGGAGGCGCCCGCTGTGGTGCCAGAGTTCTCCAGGGTCTTGGCGGGTCCCACAGTGACCAGAAGGCCCCTGGGCCCCGGAGCAGGCCCAGCTCATCTCTTAGGTGAGGCCGCATCTCCTGGCGGGGCCCCACCCGCCTCATTCCTCGGATGCCTTCCGGTAGGGTAAGCATCGCCCTGTCCCAGCCCCCTCTCCGCAGAACTGGCGGGCAGGGCCACGCTGGCCCCCAGGATGAGGAGGTGGGGCCATCTCAGCCGGACGTCCCCTCCCTTCCCACTCCCCTGGAGGATGCTCGGCGGCGGGAGGACGGATGGGGACGGGACGCCGGTAGGGTTTTCCTTCCTCGCTTCCTGCAAGGTGAGGGGCGGTAGGGGCGCGGGGACAGGCGGGCGCGCCGACTTTGCCTAAAAAAGGAAGCGCCTGGCGGCGGAGCCTAAAAGCTGGCGGCAGGAACAAACGAGAACTGTGTCGTCGACGGCCCCCACCCCCTTGCCGGGAATCTTGGCAGTGGCGGCGCTGGCTCGGCTCCACCGACCTCAGGCCTCGGCGGGGACCAGAAACCGCTGGCGCTTAACGCCTGGGCCCGTGGAGCGGGCGGGGGTGAGGGGTGTTTGAGCAAGAGGGCTTCCAGGGGGTTGCGCTCAGAGGTTCCCGGGCTGACGGGTGATCTGCATCTTTGCGTTGTGGGGCCAAGACTGAGACACAGTAGCAGCTGAGGTGTGTGGGGTCAGGGAGACAGCCAAGTGGCTATTTGCAAACCTGTCTCTCCTGGAGACCCACTGTGGACCTACCTGGGCAGGGAGCTGGGGGGTGGTGAGCCCACCCTCTTGGGAGGCTGCTGGCTTGAAGGCAGACACTCCCCCCCCTGGTTGTCCACCCACTCATCCCAGACCTCAGAAGGCCCCAGAGGCCAGGAGCCTAGCTGAGCTCAGGCCGGCCCACAGTCACACCTCCGCCTGAGCTAGGCTGACGGGGAAGTTTCCATACCTTCTGGAAACACTGCGTGGGCCTGGTTGGCTGAGACCTTCCTCCTCCCTCCTTCCTCCAGCGAGGCCATCTGAGACCTCAAGGAACAGCCCCGGGCCTGCCGGGCTCTGCCCACAGGCTGCTGCTCCAGCCCGCAGCCTGTAGCGTCAGTCCCAGGACCTTTCCCGAACCCGCCCGTCACTGCTCCCCACTGCCCCCCAGACCTGAAGGAAGGTCCAAGTGGGCAGAAGG